GCATCCACAGTGAAACATACAAGGCTGAACTGCAAGACATTATCGCAAGTATCCCACTCTACAATCACCTCAGTTTGCCTATAAGGTAAAAAGCTGAGAACAAACCATCGGTACTGACATTGTCCTTATAAATGGGGAACTCAAAATTTAGTGGCCATTTATGGATACTACATTTGGTCTAGGCGATCATGTCACTATACATTATATCCTACTTAATAACTATGTGTGTTAGCTGAATATCCGGAGGAACACACAGAACTAACACGTACTATCACACGGTACAACATTTTGAACAGCCTAGTTGAGACGACTGACTGACTGAAAGTGCCAGTATTCAGTTGTTTGGACGCTTCAGCAATCTAATCGCAACTGCTTCGGAAACAGATAATATCCACTCCACCAATCCCTAGTCTTTCATCAGAAGTAGGACTCGCAAGCGCATGTCAATAAGAAATAAGATTGGCACTATAACAGAGCTTGTCCTTCTCCCGAAACACGGAACGATTATGTAACCCAACGCAACCATTGTAACATGCTTGTCCGTGACGACAAATAGACTCACCAACAACAATTTACCTGTAAATTTGCGGACAACAAAAAGCGCCTATACAAACATGTTAACAACATCCGGAAAGTGCAGTTCGGTATCCCACTAATTAACACGTCAGTTGGAGTGCCCCATAGTGCCAACGCCTTGCGAATACAGTATGCCGCAACCTTACAGAAAGACGTCCGCCCCTATTACATACCACCATCCCTAGTCAGAACTACTACACTCATAAACATCGATTTTACTGCCACAGCAGTTTTGAAGAAGTGCTCTCGCTATGCACCTACAGTGCTGCTGGTATGGATTGCATTCACTCGAGGGCGCTGACCGGTGTGCCTACCGGTCATTGTTAATGGTACTGAGCTGACAATACGAAATGCATGCATCTACCAATTCTCGTCTCCTTACCGTGATATATATATATATGTTTGCTCGCAATCTGCAGTACGCACCTAATAATATGTAAAAAAAATTTTCAGTACATAAATCGCATTTAACCTTCATGCTAACATAATTGTGGAAATATTTATCAGGAAACAAATGCATCGGTTACATAAAAATCACCTCCCACATCAAAAAGTGAAGCATCTGGAAGATCTGGTCAAGTTGAAATTCAAAACGCCAAATTGTGTGTACGAGTGGATTTCTTTGAAAATTGCCTGAAGCTTAACCGGTTCCCCGACACGTACTGTAAACTACTGCGATCGTAAAAGCTACGGGCGAACGCTAGTAAATGAGGCGATGTCTAGAAGCTTCCTTGAGGAAGCCACATAAAAACATATACATCTTCGCTAATCCTACTTGACTAAACAATCGGAAGTTGACAAACTAAACATGATATGCTACTTAAACTTTTTGAAATTTTGTCGTGATATGATGCACAAGACAAAGAGAAACTGGTCTGAGCGATTCGAGAAAACATTGAACTAAAGATATATTTCATCTAGTTTACTTTCTTCTCCATCGACATTGTCCACCAACCTTTCATCCATCCTTTATCTAGTCTACAACTTGAGGTGCTCTCCTAGTGTTTAAGTTTGATGTTCCACTAACAAATATCAACAGCATAGAAACTCAGGCGCATCTTGAGGTGTTTACAGACGACATACTGGCCACACGCCAACTTCCAAGAAAGACGAACTCTGGCCAAATGCAAAACTAGATGATCTTGTAGATCAATCCCAGTTTATGAGTTCCGGACAAAACTCACCGCTCAAATCTAAATATTTGAAAGCCTTGAAGGAACACAGATCAGAAGGAAAAGTAGTTCTACGGCATCCATATAAGAGGTCAGGTGCTTTAGTGCTGGATAAAACCAATTATGTAAATTAGATGATGACGATACTCAACGATCGCACCAAGTTCGAGCTAGACCATACGGCTGTTCACTCAGTTGAAATCTAGAGGAGGAGAAACACCATGTTACAAATGTTGCTGGAGGGAAACAATATTAAGGCTGAGACCGCTAAATCCTAGAGACCCAGGGGCACGAAAACATCACAGCTCTATGGGTTGACAAAATTGCACCAGAAAGGTGCGCCTTTGAGACAGATTTTATCTATGGGCAATTTCTCGCAATATAAGTTGGCTAAATGACTAGTCAATTTACTTGAGCCCATCAGGAAGTCCAATGGTTCCCATGGCCTAAAGGACACATACGAAATTATGTAGCTGCTGAATAGCGTAGAGCTGAAAGACAAGATTCTGTCTAACATTAACATTGTCTCACAGTTCACAAATGTGCCACTGAAAGAGACCATTCAGATTATTTGTAACTGTGACTGAAATGCATTTGGAAATAGGCCTTCCAGTCTCTGAATTTGAAGGACTGCTGCTCCCGTGAACAGCGAATGTAAAATTGTATTTGCAACAACAAGACTGTCGACAGGTGGATGGTATCGCAAAGTGCAGTCCGCTTGGACCAGTGCTAGTGGATATTCTCTTTGCTCATCTCCAAAATCAAGCTAAGAACGAAATTAACCAATCCGTGTTTTTCTCGCAGGTATGTGGTCAACATCCTGTTCAATGTAATCAAGTGGCCCAACTCACTCAACTGAGTAACACATTCAACAGCCTTCATCAAAACGGGGACAACGGAACATGAACATAATAATAGATTGAACTATTATCAATGAATATATACGGGTTAAGAAGTGTTGCTTTACAAGTCCCGTTGGATAGTTGGTGGGGATATCAACATAGCAATAATGATAATAGTGATAGTAAAACAATTAGTTCTTTAAATATGCAAATAGGGACTTATCGTTTGCTCCGCTGTAGTCCTGCGATCGGCTTAGATCCACAGCACCCACAGTTAACATTGAATAATTCCATGGTAAACTCCAGGTGTAGGATGGAGACATAGTGCTAAGTGAGAAAGTGTAAGTGGATGAGTGCATCATCCAACAGTTTTTAAATACTCTTACTGTCGGTGCGGTGACGACCGATTCTGTAATATTCCACGGGTGACAGACATGAACAGAAAAGAAATTTCTGCGACACTCCAGACGGCTATACTGTAGAGCGAGTTTTATGAGTGGCCCCTCAGGTTAACATTGCTGCTGAGTTGCAGTAAAGGGTGGCACATATGATGTGGGTCTCGCAGAATCAAGTTTGCCCTATCCAGGTCGTCACGTAATCTGCGATAGCGTCCACTGAATACCCCCAATCGTTGCTGCCCCTCCTGGCATTTAAGATTGAGAATTACAATTACGTTCTTAGATGCCTGAAGTTGTGGCTGCTCCACTGCATTAAAGTCGTGTTTTAGCCATGGATGCAAGGTTTTAACTGCGTATTCGACACGGGGCGAACATACGCATTGAGCATTTGTCGAAATATGGAGCTGTTTAGTTGTCTAAAATCTCGTTGAAACAGCCCAATTTTTGGTCCCCAGCCTTCATGCTTTTTCGGATTGCCTGGAGCAACCCAAGTCACCTTGATCCAGGACACCCAAGTCACGTTGGCGAGTTAATCGTTATAGTATATTCGTTCCGATTCGGTATGAGTAGCTGCTTTGATGTCGGATGGAAATTACCTTGCATTTACTGACGTTGTATTGCAGTAAATTTTGGGTTGACCATCGGTACGCCGTACGTAGGTCACTCTGAAGCACATGTTGGTCAGCTTTCGCCCGAATCCCGCGCCAGATCTTGATATCCTCGGCAAACATTAGGAAGTTTGAAGCGATTCCTTGTGTAAGGTCATGAGGAAACACAAAAAACAAACTTGAACCTAGAATTGAGCCTTGCGGCACACCCCACTCGACTTGTATGGGGTTTGATAAAGAGCCCTAAACTCTGAGCACTAATTGCCGTTGAAGTAGCTAGTTGGCAATCCAACATAATAGAAGGTTGTTGATCCCGTAATGCTGGAGCTTGGAGAGTAGTATTCGATGATCTAGATGATCGAAAGCCTTGGAAAAATCCAGGTAGATCACCTCAACGCCATCTGCAGCGTCAGCTGCCTTGGTCCAACTATGCGTGCGATTAGTACATTCGTTGTACATGACCGCTGTCGGCGGAAGCCGTTCTACTTAGTCATGATGATGTCACATTTTTCCAGATAGCACATTAGTGCATCTGCAACTACGGATTCCATTACCTTGGATAGTATAGGAAGAAGTGATATTGGTGGTAGTAGGAGGGATCAGTTCTGCTTCCACCTCTGTGAATCGGGTTATTATTCCAAGCATTCACATAGCGGGAACTTGATTCATGTCTAAGCAACGCTGGAAAAACTGAGCTAGCGGTCCTGCCAGTTGGCTGGATGCTGCTTTCAATCCCTCTGGACGAACGGTGTCGACATCCAGCGAGCTATGTTTGCATAGAGTCCTCAGCTTTTGTAATACAGCCTCCGCGGTAAAAGTGGTGTGGGTTAGTCCTGGCGAGGGGAAGACAAAGGTTGGAAGATCGTTTAGTGGCGAGCTTCTCTGAAAATTGGGAACATATTGCATCCGCACTACGTTAGCTGCCTCCACAGCGTTCTTGTTAGGTCATCAGCCGTCCTGAGTGGAGGAAATCCTTGCCTCATATTTTATAGTCGATTGACGTGCTTGTACAGCAGTTTTTAGTTATCACTGAATGTTAATGTGACGTTCAGTTGATAGGCGGCTTTGTCTTCTCTTAGCATTTGAGTGCAGTGTTTAAGTTGGGCTAAGTATTTGTCCCAATTTTCTGGTGCTGGAGCTTCTCTGTACACTCACCATGCTGCGTTGCTTACGGTCATCTATTTTCGAGTTCTGCTCCTAACGAAACTCATGTACACTTTTTGCAAACTTTTATCTCTGAAGCCTCTGCAATCAGCGGACTGAATTTATTGACGAACTCGATTCAGGGGAATTCCGGGGTTCTTCGTCAAGGAACGGCCAAGCGGTGGAGCTGACCAGCTGGGCTAATCGATCGTAGCTTGTAATGCTTCGCACAATCTCATCGTTCTCATTCCGATATTAGGCATAGCGGACGAAGTTGACACTGTTGACTGCGTGATCACTGCGACCCAACTGGCCGTCTACAGCCAACATATCAATCATATGCTCCTCGTTGGTAAGCACAAAATCCATCCCAGATAGCCTGTTACCTGTCCTCAACCGAGTGGGCATACTGATGTGGTTGTACATATGAACACCGGTTACGAGATCTTGCAGATCCGCTTTGAAGTGCTTTCCGATCATGGCAGCAGTTTCTACACAATGTTGGTTGAAATCACCCATGATAAGTATTTGAGTGTACTTTCGCTGTATACTACATTTTAAACAGTCACTAGTTGGCAGTCGGTTTTGGGGGTAGAGTTAAGGGGGCGCTATATCGAGACAAAAAGGCAAGCGTCCCTGCCTTTTAACTGCAACCTGCACCAAAGAGAGTCGGGGAACTGCTAGTTTGAATCCGCCTTGGCTTCGCACTGTAAGTCGCTTCGGTAATACTGGGTTGCCCCTCTTCATTTTGTGAGCCCGTCGTTTCGGCTCAGCGACATGACCGCTAGCAAAACCTCAGCGTCCGGCATTGCCATGTGCAACCACGGCTCAGTGATACCAGACATGATATGACCCGAAAGCTTGGCGGACTTTCAGTTCGGCCAGATTATAAAATGACCCCGGGCATTCGTATAAAATCAGACCAATTTCTCCGTCTCTAGAAGCCCACAGAGGAATGAATGGGGACAAGTGTTAAAGAATGTCGACCGATGGGAGGTCAGCAGTTACTCGTTTTTTGATGGGATCAGGATACCCCCTCGGAAACTTGTTTCGGCCAAGTTGCGTCCCAATACTTGTTTAGACCCACGTCAGAGTCATTAAAGGCAGCAGTCAACTAACGCTTCTGTAAATCCGTCGGTATACTTTGTGCATTAGGTGCGTTAATATTTGAGCTGTGCAAGGTATCTGCGACCTTTATCCAAAGTTCAGAAAGAAGACGTTTCCGATTTATCCGCCATCGATCCAAAACATCCGTTGCGTGTTGCTCTGACTGAACCACTAGGTTTAAATTTCTAAGCCCCTACCCTCCATAATTTGGAGTGAGAGGTATCCTGGTGAGCAACAGCGCTACAATATTATCTTAAGAAATTGTTGCACGAATAAACCGCCACTTTAATAAATCGTGCTTTCCTGTCTCTTGAACATCTATAGAAGGATGTTCTGGACCGCTATGTATGAAGATTGTGTTTAGGCGGTGTTGCTTGCTGCTCCCCTCTTCAGTGTTGATGTTTATTATCGCGCGCTCCAAGGGATATCAGGATAGATGCGTATCTTACAGGATCAGTGTTTTAGCGCGCTTTAGGAGGGCAACACGTTTTCTACGTTAATGGAGAATTCTACTGTTACTCGAATATTCTGGGTTCTCCACAGTGTGGCGAGTTCGGATGATGAGGAATTCGTAATACGTTTATGGGCTTGGCTTTGACATTCATCTGCACGCAAAATGCGTTCCATTGGTCTTGGTCGTCCGATAACCTTTTCCGCAATGTGATGGCGGTAGATTCAGGGACATTTGAGTATACAACAGTCTGGGCACTATTAATGGATCACTTTTTTCGTTGATATACTGGGTATGGTATCTGTTTGTTCTGACCTGCTAACAAGTGTTGATTGTTTGCTGATTGTCTCTCCGTTCGCGTCGTCGGTGTTTACAATAGAAGGGGCCGCAACAGTGGCCACCTGGTGGACCTTTGAAGCAATCTCTGCAAATGTAACTGATGTTCCGGGGAGCCTTGTCTTGACAAGAGACATTTGATCTACAGGTACCGAGGGTTGGTGTCGGCTGCTTCATCCTTGTAAATGCTAGATGCCAGGTATAGTGAAATTTGCTTAACCAGACATTTCTATTTGTGCCTGATTTTCTTGGCTGTAGGTAATGTTTGACTATCGTAGGTACGGTCTGTTTTTGCCCGGCGTTCTATCAAAATTGGAGAAGACAACGGAGATGGCGACGTGGATGATTGCGGTTCAGGGGAAGCGCATTGTGCAACATTCCGTTGCTTAGAAGCCGCTACGTTTCCGTGGTGCATACTCGCTTCCACTGAACTAACCTTATCGTTTTCCTCTACTCGGCTTCTGTGATTAACCGGTCGCACTTCTCAGCTAGGATAAGTAACCACTTAACGAGTGAGATGGTGGAATACACAGTACAGAACCAAAGTGCACTTTGGGAGATATTTCGCTCTCCTACCTGTTGTTGGGACACATTTGCACAGTTCGTATGATGCCATTCCAAAACGTGCGAACAAGCCAGACCGATTAAAACCACTCGAAAACATTCGCCCAACCTCAAATGCCTTTTGCTTGCAGCCATTTCGGATTCGCATTTCTGCCATTCAAAATCTCCTCATTACCTGACCAAGTGGGTTGGTTAGCACTCTAGCTTTGAGAGCGGCGCAAATCAGTCAGGAGTGCGTGGCGGTTGCAAGGTCTAATGAGCTATTGATAGAAAGCAGTGAACGATGGATCGACACTTAGATCTGTTTACCGAAAACCCACATGGAAATGCTATTATTTGAGATTTCATAGCTCTGTCCTAAAGCAATACTAACAGGGACTAAGGCGGAATATGTTCGATGAAGTTAGGAAAAGATTCACTCCTGACCGGCTAGAACAAGAGAGGCAACTGCTCAAAACACCTTGACAAAAAAGGTGTACTCGCTTGATTCGTCACTCAATTTAGCAACCATATGGCAGAAGAGAAAGTACCCACTGTACCGAAACTGAAAGTAGTGCTGTAACAACCGTTTAAGGGGGATAATGTAGACCCGGCATTTCAACGACGTTTAAAATCCGCAGTGCCACGATTGTACCCAACGGCGAAACAGGTATCAGAGTACACAACGACTAGCATCCCTACTCCGTCGGTTAAGCCACCTGTACTTATGTTCAAAGGTTCACACATCCTTTACCTATATTCAAGTAATTGCAAAGCCGACTACTTAGGCACATAGGCGTATACTGCAAGTTAGAATTGCAACGCATACGAAAAGTGGGTTAAAAGACATGTCTCGCGAACAATCTCAACCATCGCCACAAATGGTATACATTTTTCACAAATGATCTCAGCCTCGTCAATCGTATGAGACTTCCGGACCGATAGACACAAATGGAACCTGCAAACATATTCCGGGCCATCTTCGCGTGAAATAAAACAAAGTTTTACGATAAGCAAAGCAGTAGCCTTAAACCAACTTGGCCCCACTCAAGGTATGCCCAAAGACCCGTACGTCCCAAGGGCTCTGCCGCGAAAGTAAACAAGCTAACAAAATACAAGTGTGTGACTTATCGTATATGGGTGTGCGAATGAATGGTAAGTCCCAAATGTCTGGTCGCTCTAATATATTAATGCGGGACTAAGGGCCCCACCTTCGTGTGTGAGATACAGCGCACTAAATTGCCAAATGTCCACTAGTAGATGTTGGTCTACCTCAAAAAGTTTCACCCGGCTACATGGGTCTGCACGACCGGTATGCATGCATCTAGGTGCATGTGTACTTGCCATTGTTGTCCATCGTGATAACACTGGTTAATGCGCGGATGGTTGAGTTGGAGTCAACGTACGGCACATCACATTGCAAGTTTACCGATGGATACCTACGGTGTGTCTGGCTAGTTGGAACGGAGACAGGCTTGCAAAATCGAAACAGCTGGACCTCATTACCCGGCTATTGCTGTAGACTTGTCGTGGCGTTTCTATGGTCGTAACTGGTCTAAGAATGTAGTATGCAGTAGGTGCTGTTATCTCAGCTAATGACAAGAGAGCTAGCGTCAACGCTTGTGTTGATTGAAAAGTACTTTTAAAAAACCTACCTCGGCAAAATATACAATCCTTACAAGTAGACCTTGCAAAGATGAAAGGTGACATTTCGAAAAAGAATTCTCGGAAAGCTATGCCGTCTAAACACTACTCGCTGCCGCATAACTTATTCTCTAGTCGCCATATTGATGGCCTTTTCGGGAAAAAAGGGTGATTCCCCGCCCAATTTGTTTCAGACGTAAACAGGAACGTTCATTCCAACAGATCCACTGAAGAGGCAATACTACATGAACACGCAGCAGAAGCTGCATTTATAGGCAATATCTTCCCTTCGCAGATATTCAGAATCACGTATTGCTCAAAGTGCGAAAAGCATTGAACCGAAAAACGAATGCCATAGCTTGGGAGTAGAAAGAGTGTTTATGAAATACAGCGTACTAAAGAAATGTACTTTATGCGGCTGCTGACTTGGTTTCTGTGTTTCCAAACTTTGCTGATCGAAAATTGTTATTTCAGAGGTAGAAAATGCTACCGCAGACAATGCTACATTATATGGATCCGATTTAAATTGATTTATTATCTCTGATGTGCCACCGTGAGTCATAGAAAATTCGGATTTACATTTGTAACACGGACCATGCGAATCATTGTCGCGTGTTGCCTTCCTAATGATTGAAAAAGCGCTCTCCATAATCGTCTTATCACGAAGCATATCTAAGTCAGACCGCGGAAAGAAAATGTGTTGATGGCAAATTAGGAATATGTATCCATCGAGCCCCCATTTCAGGGTCACACAGCTTCAACGAGGGCAACCAAGTACCTGATCTATGATTCGCTTATAACCTACTGCTCTGTAGATGCTGTGGTGTTCAATAGGAAAAATTGTCACTACTTTCAGTAAAGTAAGTGGAACCCATCAGCACCAAATCACATTGTACCTACCATTTTAATCAGGTAGATATGCAAGAATAGATTTTCTAATTCCAGAGTCAAGAAACACCGATTCACATATGTTCAACGTGGGGTCAGCCATCTCTCGCCCCATATTCTGTGTGCACGCAAAACCTCCAGTATCATCGATAAAGAGACATGTTTTATTAACCCTTTGTCAGATTGACCCGGATCCACATTTCGGAGACTACGTCATCCAAATCCACGCTTCTTGCGGTTCGCCGAGGCTGTGACTATAAGCCGACTAAGACCTACGCTGTGGGTGCAGAAACAGTCAGTTTCTGACCTGCGGATACCCCGGTCTTTAGACGATTGCCGCCGTTCACTTCATTGCATTTGATTGGTCGGTAACACCCTTGGAGGTATAACATGCTTTCTGGTTATTGTATTGGCGCTGATGAGATAATGCGAAATGCGCGCACTTACCAGTGATCCTCTTCTCATTGTGTTATTCAAACTATTGATGGAAAGTAACTTTTTAAGAAAAACACATTAGTTTATTTCTTGTAGGGACGACAGACTGTGATGG